GTGAGTGACAGGCGCGCATTGGGTGTGATTGAGGCGTGATTGAGGCGTGTATGGGCCGATGACAGACCTCCTGTGATCTCGGGGAGCTGTCACGTAGGCACTGAACCCTCCACTACTAACCCCCCCCCCCCCCCCCCCCGTACCCCAGAAGGTCCAACAGCCAACTAGCTAACCCCCCCCCCCCCCCCCCCCCCTTTCTCCAGGCTTGTTAGGACAGGCTCACCTTCACTCCTTAGAAATAATGGATGTGCTCCACGGCTGTCTGTAGCGTATGGCTATTTAAAATGTTTCCATTTACAAATATAAACCGTACATGTTGAGTTTGATATCGTAATGTTTTTAAAAACTCTCTGTCAAAACCTTTGTGACTGCAATTTAAAAGAAAGTATATCTGTAAACGTTTTTGTTACTGCTTTTACTGTGAAATATAAAGTGAATGTTGTTTTTTTGTGTGTACATGTGCGTTTGTGTGTACGCGTGCTTGCTTAGGTCTACCATGCCTTTTACAAGCCTCTGGAGTTCACTGTTGCGGAGCGGGATGCCAGCCAGTGTTACATAAAGGTACGGCCCCTAAATAATTTATTTAAACTTTTTAAGCTAGCCCTGTGTCAACGTATGGACAGAGAGCAGACATGGGGTGAACACCGTACAGCTGACTTTTGTTATTTATGTTGGCTTGGAAACCTGCACTGCACCATGCACAGCATCCCAGCGGGTTCTGAACCTTGTTGCGTATTTCGGTATTTCTATCAGCGCGTCCAGTTCTCCTATTTTCGAAAGCTATAAGCGTTCCTAACTTATGGACTCTGTGACATCTTGACCAGCAGGTGTATCCATAGTCCTTATGCGCTTGTCCGTGCCCCAAAAACAAAACAATTGATTGGCAAACCCAAATTGTATGTATAATGAAATGACACCTCAAGCGATGAAGGGGCAGAATAACAGGATACTAACAGACCTTCCTCTCCCTCTCCCTCTCCCTTTCCCACTCCCTCCAGGTGGTGTGTGAACGAGGAGGAGAACAGAGGATTCTGGGATTGCACTTCACGGGTCCCAACGCTGGGGAGGTGACGCAGGGCTTCGCCTTGGGCCTCCGGTAAGATGCCATCGCTGTGTAACATTAGTACATTCGTTATTACATTATTACATATCCTGCCCAACATTAAGCAGGCAGGGTAGTCTAGTTACTGGGTTTTAACCACAGATGTGGATCTGTAGTCTTAATCTATCAGGAAGATGCATTTTTTTTATGTGTTAATTATTATGTTAGTTAATTATTTTACAGTGTATTCCTGTATTCCTGTAAACCCAGCTTTCTGCTACACATTGTCCTGCCTGCACACGTCACCATTCCCCCATCAATCAATTAAGCTCTGTGTGTGCGTGTGCGTGTGCTTGTGTGTGTATGTCTGCCTCCAGGTGCGGAGCCACTTTCTCCCACCTGAAGGAGACGGTAGGGATCCATCCGACGTGCGCCGAGGAGCTGACCAAGATCAACATCACCAAGCGCTCCGGCCTGGACGCCACCGTCACCGGCTGCTGAGGTTAAGCACCCCCTGGCCCCTGGACACCACAGAGCACACTAGAGGGTCCCCCACACTAGAGCTAAAGGGTTTATGGTCGCTATAGTTGTTGTTGTAGCAGCAGCGATGGAGGCTGCTTACCTGCACTCTCTCGCTCTCTCTCAGTAAGGTAAATAAGATAAGCTCTGTCATTTTCCAGCTTGCTCGCCTACACACTCTCTCCTGACACTTCTACTATGGCTCTTTCATCCGCGCCACCAAAATGGCCTCCTCTAGCGGCTTCCAACATCATCCAGATGATTTTTATTCACAAGTGTTTCCCCCCGCTCCCCTGCCCGGTAGTACGGTCTGGTCCTCGTCTTCAGTGGGTTAGGCGGTTGATTGCGGCGGCGTTTTGGCGCTCCGTCATTGAGGAAGCCCAGGTTAGTGTTGGGAACGCGGTCACGTGATCACCACAGAATGATTATCCTATTTGCAAGCTCCCCACCCCACCCCACCCCACCCCACCCCCCTCTCCCCATGTGAGTTACACTCTCTCTCTGAAAGCAAAGTGTTATAGATCCCCCAGTTAGCGAAGGCCCCGACCACAGAGCGGGCGCCCGTTAAATAAACACCCTCATAAATCAGGATTACAGGCCCCTGCTTCCAAACGGCTTTTTTTTCCTGTTTTGATTTTTTTTTTTCCTTGAAAATCTTAACGAGAACCGTGGAGATGCCTAACATTTTTGTCTTTCTTTTCTGAATATATATATATATATATATATATATATATATATATATATATATATATATATTCATTCCGCAAATATTGTTGTTTCTCCGTCTGTACTTCCTGTCCATTAGTCTTGAAGGTGACACATGCCTTGCTACCCCTCCACCCCCTAGCCCTCCACCACACCACCACCACCACCACCACTCTGCAGCCCTACCCCTCCACCCCTAGCCCTCCACCACCACACCACCCAAACAGCTCTGTGCAGCCCTACCCCTCCACCCCTGACACTGATGGATGGCCCCGGGGCCTTCACCGACGTGACCCTCCCCGTTTCCCAGGGACACACACAAACAGTCGACGGGCCGCCTGTCCGTCAGCCTCACAGACCCCGGCCAGAGAGCCAGGCTTGTTTTTTAGGGCCCTCGGTGAGGCCCTCGGCCCCCGACCCCCTCGTCTCCCCAATGCACAAAGCGGTGCAGCAGGGTCTACAATAGCAGGCTGTGTGTGTGTGTGTGTGTGTGTGTGTGTGTGTGTGTGTGTGTGTGTGTGTGTGTGTGTGTGTGTGTGTGTGTGTGTGTGTGTGTGTGTGTGTGTGTGTGTGTGTGTGTGTGTGTGTGTGTGTGTGTGTTTCACAGCCTGAGCATGGACAACTCTATTCCTTCTGTTACAAAACATCGCTGCAGCATACCTTTGTGCTATTATAGGCTGTAGTACTCAAATTCACCCAACAGTGGCACTGTTGTCTTCTAATTCACATCCTTTTTTTTTTAATGGCAGTGGATGAAACATAACACACACACACACACTCTTTTAATCCTTATTAAAAAGAGATGTGCTTTTGGACCTGAAGGTGGAACGCCAGGGTGGTAGACTTGGTGCCAAACTGATAAGAGGTTATCTGTTGTGTATTTACACGGATGAAAGGTCAGCTGCTCACAGTCATCACCTGTGACTCTATACACACACACGCGCGCGCGCACATGCACACACCTTGCAAAAAAGCAGTTTGTTGTCAATAAAGCAGTAATAGACAACCCCATCACTTGCTACCACCATAACCGCCCTACCCCCATATGTCCCCCATATGACTGTATTAACCAGAGCAGGATAAGCAGCACTGTGAGGGAGAGTGGTGGTGGAGGTGGTGGAGGTGCGTTACGAGACGGAGGCTGCTGGGCTGAGTTTATTTGTGTTTGAAGTCTAATCTCCCCCCCCTTCCCCCCCTGATTAATGATCCTGACGAAGGCAGTGACAGTGTGCCAGGAGATGGCAAGAGGACAGCCGAACAAGGAGGTAGAGGACGAGAGACACAGAGCGAGAGAGAGGGAGTTACCAGGTTTATTTGGACCTGCGGTTGAGGGAGAGTGAGATTACATAAAAGAGAGAGAGAGAGAGAGAGAGAGAGAGAGAGCGGGGATGCAGCCCTGTGAGAGGAGAGCGGGGTGTGTGTGGGGGAGGGTGGGGGGGGGTGTTGTGTGCACGGTGTTCAGGGCCAGGGTGCTGACGGAGGAACCCTGACCTCCACTCGCCAGGAACAGCTTGACTCCATCACCCCGAGCACAGAGGGCTCCTCGCCCGCTTTGCACGCCACCACCGCACACCACTCTGTGTGTGTGCGTGTGTGTGTGTGTGTGTTTTCCAGGGGTAATAGAGTCTTCGTATGGCTGCTCTTAATGAAGCTCTTCGGAGGCCCGGGGCCCGGCGATGGGAAGTCATTCAGGCGATCGATGTAACAGTAATGTCTGTTTGCTTTTTGCACTCCTGTTTCCTTTTTGAACCACCACCACTGTCTGTTATTGTTATTTAAACAGGCGTACTGACAGACCGAAAACGAAAAAAGAAAGAAGTTTAGCATATCAGCAGCGTACGAACTTCATGTAAAAATAGGGGTTATTTTTCATTGTTGCTCTGCGTGCCTTTGGGCCCGGGGGTTATGGGGTGGTGGTTTGAAACAACTAGTGTCAGTCATGCGAGAAGGCCTGGCGGACAGGAGTCAGGGTTCAACTTTCAGGTCGACCAATTCATGAAGACTTGCACTAAAACCCCAAACTAGGGGTGGTGTGGGTCCGATCTCACCTGGTCACAAATTCCCTGAGCTGTAAATATAAAGTTATTATTTTTGCATAATTAAATATTTATTCTGGTAATTTATTAGAATGTCTTGTATAAATATAATGCACAATAAATATGTTTACCCAAGACTCAGGGATTTGTCATTTTTTGGGTGTGCGCATGTGTTTGCATTCATTCATTCATTCAGTGCATGCTGTGATCATGCAAGAAGGCCTCTGCATCTTTTTATCCAAGTATCCAAAATACTTTATTCGAGTTCTGAATGCAAGAATCACCATCAATTCCACAGAACGTGTAGAAATAGAAACTAGTATCCGACGCAAACGTGTGTGTTGTGTCTATTCTCTGTCTCTGCGGATCAACGTTTATGCCTTAAGAGCGGTCGGTGTTGTCTTGTGCGGGGGGGGGGCCAGGGGTGGTCGGCCCCCTGACCCCTGGTCGTCTCTGCTGACAGTCCGCTCTGCTATGCGCCGCTGTCACTCAACCCTCCGCGCCAACAATGGCAGAAATTCCAGGCTGTTTGTTTGGTTAAGGACCGGGCTCTCGGAAACCCCTGAACCTCCTCGGGATCCACGGCAGCCTCTCACACACCCTCGGGATCTGAGCTCACCCTGTCAATCTGGACCTGGCCGGGGCGACGGCCCACCTCCACCTCCACCGCCTTCTTGTCTTGGTGGTGGTGGTGGTCCTGACCAGCTAAACTGGTAGAGCATGGCATTAACGTTGCCAGGGTTGGGGGGTTTGATTCCCACTGGGGTCACCCATGCTAAAACTGCATGCACTCACGGTATTGTAAGACGTTTGTATAAAAGCGTCCACCGAATGGCGTATATTATATTGTCGTATTATATACAGGAGGAGTAGTTGCAGCCGGGGCTAACCCATGTTGGCAAACTTGTTGGGTCTCCGCGTCGCTCCCCTGCGATGCAACGAGCGTGGCAAATCCCCCTTGAAACGCAATTAGTGCAGAACATGTCAACATGTCGGGGTGCACTCGGTTTGTATGCCCCGTCGTAATCCAGACTTTTTTTGTTACGTTGACAGCCCTGTCTGAGAGCACATTCACCGGGGGTCTCTTGTCACCGAGCCCCTAGTTGTTGCAAGCAGCAGAAGAAGCGCACACACACACACACACACACACACACACACACACACACACACACACACACACACACACACACACACACACACACACTTCCACACCCATAGTGAAAGGCCTTCTGGAGTAGATGGAGGGGGTGTAGGAGAAGCAGTGGTGGTGTGTGTGTGTGTGTGTGTGTGTGTGTGGGGGGGGGGGGGGGGGGGTGGGCTGTCAGGATGATGAGGAGAGGGGGGTGAAACAGATACATACCTTGTGTAAACATTCGCTAAAAAAAAAATGACGCTAGCAACAGAAAAGGCTCAAACAGGCGAGGATTATCCCTTAGAAATGAATAGGGGCCAATTATGACTGCTCTGTTGTACTGAAAGTATTTTGCTCTGCACTGTCAGGCTGAGGTGCCTTCAGGGCTGCTGACACCCCCCCCCCCCTTCACTGTGTGTGTGTGTGTGTGTGTGTGTGTGTGTGTGTGTGTGTGTGTGTATGTGTGTGCGTGTGCGCGCGCGTGTGTGTGTGTGGGGTAGCGACCCTCAGACTCATAAGCCAAAGTGAGCCTTAAAAAAACCTGTTCTGCGTAATCCTTCTGCTGTCTGTCCCGGGGCTCCAGGTTCCCAAGTTCAAGGCATTAGCTTTGTGGAAGACCCCATGAAGCTGTAACATCTAGCCTGCCTGTCATAGCCAGGCTCAGAGAAACGACCGCTTTAACACCCGCGATGAGTTGGATGCCGCGCCTGCTTGTCTTTGGCGTCTGTTGTGCTGCGGGTTAACACAGTAAGATATAACCCCCCCCCACACACACACACACACACACAGTTACATCCAAGGCTGCTGTCCCGTCTAAACCCCACGGTAACAAACGCGCTAAGTATTCGTAAAAGGCTGCAGAAACTCCCCCTGCAGGAATGTCAAGGTTGTCTGCTTGCTCCTCTGTTCAGCCACCGTAACAGGAATCCATGCTGAAGCTCTGGGGCTTTGCTACAACTGTAGCCGACTTAAAGACCCACAAGGCCGACAACATGACACCCGCCTCGCCTCTCTCTCCCCCTCTCTCTCCCTCTCTCTCCCTCCCTCTATTCAATCAAACCAGACACTGCGCTGCAGAGGGTCGAGACGCAGAGAGGGAGTGGACCGAGATGTAGATTCCACATCTTGAGTGGTGGTGGAGAAACTTTTGGCTTTGACAATACACAGCGATGGCGCTCCAAGTCGGCGCGTCCCGCCGGAGACCAGCAGGATCTGTGCGAGCGCCTTATCAAGGGCCCTGATAACGACAGATGCGCCCAGGAATGACCTAAACTCAATACACATGGCTCCTGTTGTGGTTTTTTTTGTATTATTATTATTATCTGCGGTCAGGTTTTTGCATGTCTAGACCCATCCGCCAACCGCAACGCTTTTAGCGGGATTGCAAATCCTGCGTAGTTAACGGTAATAAAAAGGTGTGCCTTCGCAGTTTGTGGTTTTCGGTCCCCAGACGACAATAAGCGGCCCAGTTAAGATGCGCTGACCTCAAGCTCCCTAAATAATTTCGTCAGCGCCCCGGCCGCCACACAGGGAGCTGCCTGGTGGATACCTTTGAACGAGGCCTGTGATTTACGGAGCTGGGATCTGTCTGTGGTGATCAACAAAGGGACATTACTGCGGTTGTAGTGTGTGTGTGTGTGTGTGTCGGGTGTGGGGAACACACCGAACCAGCGCCTTTGTACTGTTGTCTGTAAGTCTGTATCCTGAAGAGAAAGTCTCGCTTTCGAGTGTGTGTCTGTGTCTGCGTGTGCGTGCGTGTGTGTGGGTAGCCAAGCCAAGTAGAAGTTTTCCATCAGATTAGCTTTCCCATTGTGTTCAAAAGCCAAATAACACGCGCCCATACCAGTTCCCTGTGTAGTCGCCAGTGTCTAATTAAAGTAGTTAACAGAGAACAAGAACAAAAATCCCAACGTCGACACGTAGACCTGACCACCCTCCTTTCGGTACACGTTTGTATTGTTCGGCCTCGCCCCGCGGGACCCTAGTCTATAAATAGCAGCCGTCCTACAGACTGTCTCCAAAAGCACGAACCTCCGTACGGTGCGCACCGCACATTCCCCGCATTTCACAATAATGCCCGTTTCGGGAGCGGCGACGTCACCGCCGAGGGCCGAGCCAGCAGACGCATACCCACACGCGGAGGCAGGTGTATATTTACCCAAACCAGTTATTCGTTGTGTGTAATGTCACCCTTGACCCGGTGCCTGCGCCGTGCTGACAAATGAGCCGGTAGCAGGGACACACAGAAGAGCGGTCATTATGTCGGAGGAGGCGTCCAGCGCCAGGGAGAGCATCCTGTTGTGTCTGGGACCAGCTGATCGGGACCCGGGGGTGGTCCCGGGTTTACCTGCACCACCGCAGGACGGCCATTACCCTTTCATTGACGAGAAGCATGGGGTGGTGCTTTAAAACAAATTACTAATAAACAGACTCAGATAAATGGAAAGATGAACAAATGAAGCAAAGCTTGTGTTTTTCACAAGTAGGCCTACATTGTATTTGAAAATGTTTCTAAATGGTTTTGGGTAACACTTTACAATAAGGTACACAAAACGTGGGTAGTTACTGAGGAACGAATGAGTAACGAATGATGAACAACCTGGGCCCTAACTGGGGCCCTAACTGGGGCCCTAAGTGACAGTTACTCAGTAACAAATACAGTAGTCCCCTAGTCTGTTTACCAGTAATTCCTCAGTAGTTACTGAGTAACTGTCACTTAGGGCCCCGTTAGGGCCCCGTTAGGGCCCCAGTTAGGGCCCCAGTTAGGGCCCTGGTCGTTCATCATTCGTTACTCATTCGTTCCTTAGTAACTACCCACGTTTTGCGTACCTTATTGTAAAGTGTTACCTGGTTTGGTTTAATTCGAAATAAAACAACAGTTTTGAGTTAAAGTCATTGTATTGTAGGCCTACTGCAGGTCAGTGGAGGGGGGGGGGGGGGGGGGGGTCATTTTTTTCAAAATGTGGTATAGCTTTTGTTCCTACTTTTTTTGTTTGAATTGAATAGCTTCAATCTATGTTCAATTCTCTAACATTGATGCAAATTCTCTAGCATCTATGCAAAGAAATGAACATGCGTGATGTTTGTGTTTGTGTTTGATGCTTAGCCACATAAGTTTTGATCCTTCATCAAATGGACTCACTTAAGGTGGCAATTTATCTAAGTGAACACTAACTTCAAGATAGTAAAACAATGTGATTAGTGTTCGGTAGGCCGACCAGAAAACATCCGAGAGTAAGATCCCTGTTTGTCCTGTCTGCTTGCGGTCTGACCCTGAGCATCAGGACTGCGGCGGCGGTGATGTGGGTTGAAGTTGGGAAAGACGTGATAAGGCTTCGGGCCGAGGGAGACTCCCCCTTCTTGACCATCGGAGGGGGAGTGCGGCTGAGCGGCGCTGATAATGGCGGTGCATCTGCTCTCTCCTGGCTCTCTCCTACAAGATGAGTCATCCTTCTAATAAAGGCATGTTTTTTTTTCTTTCGGTTTTGCTTCGAGGAATCATAGCCACGGCAAATCAGTCCACACCTTCCCTGGAATCTCTCCGTTCGCGCCCCGCGAATCAGTCAAAACACCCCGTGAAAAAGCGAGACGATGGAGAGCCCTCTCTCTCTGGATCCCTTTCTCCATGATACCTGTAGGATCCAAGACAAACCCCCGGCGTGTTTTCTCTCTCCTCCTTCTTCAAACACCCTCCTCCTCCTCCTCCTCCTTGGCTTTCCGATATCTCCGGCTTGCGGCTTAGGGAAGGGCTGATGCTTTCTGTTACTGCCTCCCCACCCCCCCCCACCCCCCCCCCCCCACACACACACACACAAATGCGAGATAAAAAATACTTAGATGAATGTATGAGATGTAATCTGTAATCTCCTCCCATGGTAAAGGGGCTCAAGGTGAATGTAAAGAGATACAGTGCAGGTCTCTATTAGAGGGACCTGTACCTACAGCTCGGCCGGGAGATTACAAGCCGCCGCGGCAGCAGGTGTCGAATGGCGGCCTGCTTAAACCTACACTATTTCACTTATTGTGTGCCGCTGTGTAAACACGGAGAGCCAGCCATGCATGCATTTCTAAGTCACGTTTCAGATTCCCTGCAGTTAAAACCAATAGATACAGACATTCATTTGTCCCCCAGTGCCATTTCTCTACTGAACTCAGATTTTGGGCCTCTGGGCTGACATCATGTTGTTTTTGGTGCACAGTATGTGGTATGATTTCCTGCCGTATGATGGTACTCTGCGGTGTGTTTTTTCTGTTTTCTATTTTTGTTTTTTATTTATTTGATGCGTAGTATTTATTATTATTTTTTATTTTCATGGATGTCATGCAGGGATGCTTAACAGCATGCCTGTATGCACACTGCACGTATTATCTGCATGTATGTTTTCTTCACCCATTGGGTGCCCCCAGTGATCTGTCATCTTGTACTTTTTGTTCCTATGTTGTCTATGATGTCTTGCTCAGTGGCGGTTCTAGGGGGGGGGCCAGCGGGGGCCAGTGCCCCCGTAACTCTGAGTCCGGACCCCCCTGTGGCCCCCCCCGAACGAGGAGTCTGCGTCAATAATAAAATGACGGTGTGCCCCTCCAAAAACACAAAAGCCGGCCCCAACCTGGCCCCCCCATTAAAACTGGTCTAGAACCGCC